GAATTTGGTTCCCTTAAGACTACCTGGCAAATACCGTTTTAGATAGCAATGTACCTTGGAGGAAGTGGGAATACGTTTCAAAAAGTGATTGCTCTTTACAACCACCCCTTGGTGGCTGACCATTTGAAAACCAGTCTTAGCTGATATTACTAAAAGTTACAAAATCAAAGTAAGGCTGGGGTCTATGATGGTTAATCTTGCCTCTCAACTTCACTGGATTGAGAGTTGCCTAGGAGATGAACAAAGCATATGCCAGCAAGTATCTGTAAAGATGTTTCTAGACCAGATAAACTCAAAGTTTAAGTAGACTGCTGGGAGGTGCTAGAACTGTGAAAGGAGAGGTCAAGTAGCAGGAAGTTGGTCATATGTGACATGTTTTTAATGGGCTTCTTGGCCCTGCCCGTTTTTTGTTACTTCTCTCTACTTCTTAGCTGCCCTGAGGAAAGCAGCTTTTCTTGGCCATACCCTTTCTCCATCACGTTTCTGCCTTTCTATCCAGGCCTAAGAACAATGGAGCCAGCTAACCATGGACTGAAACTTTTGAAGCATGAGCCAAAATAAATCTTTCTTCCTGTTTCTCTCAGGTATCTGTCACTGTGAGATAAAGTCTAACAGCTTAATAATGGGAAAGAATTGGGGCAAGTGCAACCATTTCTTCATTGTATCTCTCAGGAGGCATTGTGCATTTAAAGGAGATTTAAGGGAGTGGAAAATGTAGAACACAACATTTTATTTCATGGGATTTAAAACTTTCTTTTAAAAAAAATGAAGCATGGTATGGGTATAGCATTTAATGAATGTGCTTTTGTAAACACCAACCCATTGTTGTTGTCTATTGCTATAAACAGATTGCCACCAACTTAGGGTGAAAAAAGCATACTTATGTAACAGTGTGTGCGGATCAAGAGCTTGTGTACCACTTAGCTTGGTCCTCTGCAGTGCTGTAATCACAGCATCACCTGAAGGAAGTGTCTCATCTGAATGTTCTACTGGGAAAGGATTCCTTCCAAGATCAAGCAGGTTGTTGGCAGAATTTATTTCCTCCTAGCTGTAGGACTGAAAGTCTTGTTGCTTGACTGCTGTTGGCTGTGGGCTATCTTCAGTTCCAGCAATCCCCTTCATTTCTTTGTCTCTTGGGTGTCTCTCATCAAAGCCAGCAAGTGAGCAGAGTTTTGTCTTTGCCCGTTTGGACTTCTCTAACAAATACCATAAATAGGATGGCCTGTAAACAACAGTATTTGGTTTCTTTATAGTTCTTGAGGCTGGAGTTAAAGATCAAGGGAACTAACTGATTCAGTGAGCTCTAAAGACTCCCTCTCTGACCCACAGATGGTGTCTTCTCTCTGTCTTCCGATGGCAAGGCAGTTTTGGGGGGCCTCTTTTGCAAAGGCACTAATCTCATTTATTGGGGATGACTTCATCATGACTTAATCACATCCCAGCATTCTCAGTGCCTAATATCATCACTTTGGGTGTTAGGATTTCAACTTGCAAATTTGAGGAGGACCCAACACTCAGACCATCCTTCATTAGATGGATGTTACATGGAGTGAAGATGGAATCATCATTGTTCACTCTCACTTTAATTATTAATGGTTGGTTAGAAGCAAGTGATAGGTTTACCCGTAATGAAAGAAAGGGGATTTGGGCAGGAAAAGTAGACATAAATATGAAACACAGGTAAAGAACAGTGAAATTCTAAACACAAACAACTCTATTTTATACTCTGTCAGAGGGTAGGACCCTAAGTTTGATAAATGCTAGTTTTCAAATGCAGATAGCCTAATCATAATGGCTGACATCATCTCCCTATAGTGTCCTTCAGTACATTTCTTTTTAGCAGTTCTTCTGTTTTAATAGAGTTGAATGCTATTTTACTGGGAGTTCACTCTCTGTCTCTTCTCTCTTCTCTCTTCTCTCTCTCCTCCCTCTCTCTCTCTCCTCTCTCTCTCTCTCTCTCTCTCTCTCTCTCTCTCTCTCTCTCTCTAGCTCGTTTGCTGGCTCACTCTTTCTACATTCCCCACATAAAATCTTCCTTACCACCTTTAACAAATGTCTACTTGAGCTGAGCACCACTGATTCATGCTTATAATCCTAGCTACTCAAGAGGCTGAGATCTGAGGATCAAAGGTTCGAAGCCAGCCTGAGCAGGAAAGTCTATGACACTCTTAGCTCCAATTAATCACAGAAAAAGCCAGAATCTCAAGTGGTAAAGTGCTAGCCTTGAGCAAGGAGCCCAGGAATAGAACCCAGGCCCAGAGTTCAAGCCTTAAAAGTGTCCCAAATCAATTATCCAAGAATTTGGTGAGTATCATTGTATTCTTCATTCTGACTCAGTCTAGTAAAACTCAGTTTCAATGAGCATATATAGATGCTATATTTTTTAAATGGTTCTTCTCCTATAATTGACTTACTCCTGAAGAGTAGTACATATATGTTTAATAAATTAACAAAATTTAAAACCAGATAAGTTGATCTTAAAGGTAACCACAGCTAGAGATCTACAGAAAAAGAAGCATAACCTAGGAGTAGGTCTGACTCTGTCCCATAGTCTGTTCTGTTGGTTAATAGATTGACACAAATTCTCTTGGTGACAAGGTTACCTTTAGGCACTTCAGGAGAACAAAAAGATCTTATATTCTCTCATTTTATTTAGAAAAACTAAGTAAAAGTTGAGTAACATATCATTAACCAAGCTCTCTAAAACTTCTCAGTTTTAGTTCTCCCTTTGGAATATCAGGAGAATCCTGAGCAGAGAAATACTTCATTCACCCAGCTCAGGCCAGAACTAGAACAGCCATTGAAGTACTAAAAAAGCCCTAAAACTGGTTTCTATAAGAAATAGGGATGTATACACACACACACACACACACACACACACACACACACACACACACACACACACACACACACACATACACACACACACACAATGGAATTCTATGCTTCCATCAGAAAGAATGTCACTGCCCCATTTGTATAGTAATGGAAAGACTTGAAAAAAATCATATTAAGTGAAATAAGCCAGACCCAAAGAAACATGGGTCCCAGGGTTTCCCTTATTTGCAAAAATTAGTATACGTCTGGGATAATCTTAACAGATGAGCAGAATAGCTTGATAGTTATGTACATATGACCGTAAAAAATGATGCTAAGCAAAATGAACTTCAAGACATGGACACAAGAGGTCTTTGTGGTTGTTGTTTTTAATGTACTATATGATTTTTTGTTTCTTTTTAGGTTTTCCCCCCTATGGTCTATCCCTTGTTGTCACTGTATTTGATTTCAGTACCCTAGTATTGTATATACTACAATTCAGGTAGGGAAGGGGAACAACAGTATGATGAGATTAAAAACCAATGCAACAGTGATATACACAAGACAATATGTTGGAAATGATCTGTACATCTTTGAGGTAGGAAAAGGGAAGGGGGAGAGAAAGGAGGAGAAAAATTAGGGAAGGGGTAACAAGTTTAACTAGAAATTTGCTTATTACCTTACTTGTGTAACTGTAACCCCTCTGTACATCACTTGGACAATTTTTTTAAATGCACAAGAAAAAACAAAGAAATGGGGAGCTGGGAATGTGGCTTAGTGGTAGAATGCTTGCCTAACATGCATGAAGCCCTGGGTTCGATTCCTCAGTACCACATACACAGAAAAAAATGGAAGTGGTGCTGTGGCTCAATTGGTAGGGTGCTAACCTTGAGCAAAAACCAAACAAACAAAACAAAAAAAACAGAAGCTCGGGGTCAGTGTCTAGGCCCTGAGTTCAAACTCCAGAACTGGCAAAAAAAAAAAAAAAGAATAAAGAAAAGAAACAGGCTTGTCTGGCAAACACATACACAATTTGGAGATCATTATTTGGGCCCAGGAGTGAACACAGAGTATACGTCCCTACCAGACTTTTGCACAGGCCACAGTCTAGCAGAAAGCAGGGGCTGCTTCTGATGGCTTCTCTTGAGGAGATCTCTAATGTTGAAGAGGGCCAGTTCCTCAGCTGGCTGCCCAAGATTGTCCTTTCAGCTCAGTCCTCAGAGAAGGTGATTTGTGGATCATGATGCTCTAAACCAGTAGGAGAAAGACCAAGACTAAAGGTGAATGAGCGCAGAACAAGAGGGTTTTGTTAATGGAGGTGTTTTGTGATATCCTATAAGGGAGGGTAGGAGCTATTTTATCCCACAATATATTGTAATATAAACTATGGATACTGTACGCTGAGATTTCCCTTTGACATTTTATCAGTTCAGTGAGCTGCAGAGTTGAAAGCCTTTAAAACCAGAGAAGTATATCTTCCCTGGATGTGTTTAGAATACTTAGAGACTAATTGTTGCTTAACTTTTCCTTACTCAGAGTTTTCGAAAGTGCCCAATTTTAAATGAAATTTACTGGTAACAGATTCTGTGAGGGCATTTTGAACCAGTAATTTTTCATTGTGTATTACATTGTGTATTTTGTATTCTGTGAATTCTGTCGTTATAATGTCATTACATAGTATCCTTACCTGATTAATATTATTGAAGTCTACAATAGGCCTAAAGTAAATTAAATTCTGCATAGATTTTTACCTTCTATTTTGTATTTGGGTTCTTTTCTTCTCTAATATTTGTGCCTTTTTTTGGAAAGAATGACTTCTAATGAGTGAATATAGACAGATATTTCATAAGAGGAAGCAACTGCTTTAGACAACACGGCTTTTAAGAGAAAGGGAGTTTGGCTATTTTAATGGAAGAGCAATTAAGTGCCTCAGTCAGTGGTACAAAAAGACAAAATAGGGCTAGAGCAATGGCTCAATGGTAGTGTGCCTTCCTAGCAGTTAGGAGGTTTGAGTTCAAACTTTATTACCACTTAATAAAAACTTTATACAAGCTCTGGTGGCTCACACTTTTAATTCTAGCTACTTAGGAGGCCAAGATCCAGAGGATCATTGTTCATCACTAGCCAGAGCAGAAAAATCAGTGAAACTCCATCTCTAATAATAAGCACAAAGCCAGGCTGGAGTGCTTGCTTCGGCAGCTCGTATATTAAAATAGGAATGACATAGAGAAGATTAGCATGACCTCTGCACAAAGATGGCATGCAAATTCATCAAGCATTCCATAGTTGTACTCATAAACTGCTTCTGTTGAGTGTCAACTCCCTTGTACAACTACTTAGAAAGGTTTTTTAATGCAAGGCTAGATGTGTGGCTCAGATGATAGAGTGCCAGCTATGAGCAAGAACAGCAAATGTGAGAAAAATGCCCTAAATTCAAGCTCATGGACAAGGACAAGAGAGAGAGAAAAAGAGACTGGGGGTGAGGGGGTGGGATAAAAATGAAAACTAAATTCTGGTGATAGTGCTTCTAAGGATGTGTGGTGAAAGTGTCTTACACAGTGAACACACACTTAAAAGTAGTAAGCTAGCAATCGCACACCTAGGCACACTCAAGAGAAACAAAAAAAAACTTTCATAAATGCTTGGAGGAAGTTTATTCATAATTGCTTAAAAACAACTGGAAACCACTCGGATGTCTCTTTGCTGGTAAATGAAAAACTGATAGATCTATACCGTGCAATACTCAGGAATAAAAAAAGAAATGAAGGCTTGGTACATGGGATGGCACAGGTAAGGGGGGAAATCCCTTCTCAGAAGGCTACCCACTCTATGATGCTATTTACCCACATTGTGAAAATGCCTGGGACAGAAAATGGCTTGGTGCTTGCTAGAAGCAGTATGTGGGGAGGCACTGACAGGATGCTATAGTGACAGCAGGGTACTTGGGAAAACTCTAGAACTATTTTGCTTACTTTTGGTGTGTTAGTTGACTGTACTGTGTGTTTTGCCAAAAATGTACAAAACTGTGCATGAGATATGTGAACTTTATCATAATCATAGCTTTGGCAACAAAGAAGACAAGGAGGGAGGTTTCTGGTCTCAGTGACAGCTGAGGAGTGATTTTAATAGGCAAGCCCCTGTCTCAATAGCACACAGGAAAGTCGCTTCTGCCTCAGGAATTAGAATTCAAAGCATCTGGGTGAAAGTTGTTTACCATTGAAATCCTACCTACTCAGAAGGCTGAGATCTGAAGATCAAGGTTCCAAGCCAGCCCAGGAAAGAAAGTCCATGAGACCATCAATAAACCACCAATAAAAGCCAGAAGTAAAACTGTGGCTCAAGTGGTAGAGCACTAGCTTTGAGAAAAAAAAGGGGGTGGAACCTCAGATACAGTGGACAGGCCTGAGATCAAACCCCAGTACTGGCAAAACAAGAGAAAGGAAGGAAGGAAGGAAGGAAGGAAGGAAGGAAGGAAGGAAGGAAGGAAGGAAGGAAGGAAGGAAGGAAGGAAGGAAGGAAGAGAGGGAGGGAGGGAGGGAGGGAGGAAGAGAGGGAGGGAGGGAGGAAGAAAAGAAAGAAGAAAGAAAGAGAGACAAAGAGAGAGAGAGAGAATTTTAGGCAGTAGAAACCCATGACATTCATACAACTGAGGTAATTGGAATCTGTATACTGTATGTATTCTTTTGTATGAATGACCCAGAGTGTATTTTCCATTTGCCTTTTGAGGTGCATTTGACTTGTTTCCAGGATTTGACGACAGACAAGGTCTCTATCATCAATCATGTGGTTCCTCAACATTCAAGCAGAGAAACCAAAGATCTGTTTTCCACTCAACTTATGAAGATTTCCTAAGTGCAAATCTGATCATGTTACTCCCTTGATTATGGTCTGTATCACCTTCAGTACTGACTCGGCAGCATGACTGCGGAATCCATATTCTGGGTGCTGAATCCACATTCAAGAATTCTGACTTAACTGACAGAAAGAAAGCCTGAACATCTAATTTTTAAAGCCGTCCACAGGTTTTTTTATTTCAGATTTAATTTTTGAAAACCATGCCAATGAAGCTAAACAGTGGCTCACATCTTATAAAAAGATTGTGTCATATGGATAAACCTTGAGGATATTATATAAACTGAAATAAAGTCACACACACACACACACACACACACACACACACACACACACACACACACACACACACAGAGAAAACTCTGCATGACTATCCATGCATAGTATTCAAGGTAGATGGTGTTTTCCAGTGAGTGGAAGAGGAAAAAAAATCAACTTTTGTGCAATGGTAAAGATTTTCAGATTTTCAGGATGAAAACACTCTATAGATCTACTATACAACTATGTGCACAACTGAAACTCTTTAACATTGAACAAAACTCTACTTCTCTTTCTTCCTGAAATCCTTGGAAACCATCATACTCCTGTTTTGCTTCTGAGTACAGTACTGTATACATAAAATAGTGCTGATGATGTTTCATGCTATGCTATTTTGACCACAATTTTTTTTTAAAGGAGAAATGCGCCAGGCACTGGTGGCTCATGCCTGTAATCCTAGCTACTCAGGAGGCTGAGATCTGAGGATTGCAGTTCAAAGCCAGCCCGGGCAGGAAAGACCCTGAGACTCCTATCTCCAATAAACCACTAGAAAGCTGGAAGTGGTGCTGTTGCTCAAGTGGCAGAGTGCTCGCCTTGAGCTGAAGAGCTGAGGGACAGCGCCCACGCCCAGAGTTCAAGCCCCATGACCGACAAATAAAAAAAACAAAAAGGAGAAATGCATGAACCTCACAAACCCTATTAGATATGACCTCTGAAAGAGTTAGACTCTTTCCTACCAAAGTGGTGGGGCAGCATAAGCACTGTCATTTCGCTGCTATGTTATAAGAAGTTATTTTAGTTAAACCACAGTTTGTCATAAGAATTGTTTTTCTAGGGGCTGGAGGCATGGATCGAATGGTAGAATACCAGCTGAGTAAGAACTGCTTTCCTGACAAGCTCCTGCATTGGTCAGGAGTCATTTGATTGCTAAGATAAAATTTAAAAGCCTTATAAACTAGCCAATTATGCAAAATTGTGAACCTAACTTCTGACCAATCAACATGAAGGGCAGTAAACACAGTAAGAACACGAAAAGACTTATCTTTTTGATAGTTATGTGTCCTTTTGCAGAAACAAACTTTGCATTACCCAGATCCGTTCAAGTCGTCTCTATTCTTATGTGACACCCCAATATCCTGAGACATTTCCAGCACTTCTGGCTCCTCGCTATAAAATAAAGGCCCAGGAATATGAAAACTAATGGAGGCATATTTAATGTTCTGTATTCAACAATACTGCCCTTGCAGGGCTCACAGCCAAGACGATCTTACCTTTTTCCTTTTGGGGGAAGCATGTGACTAATTTCTCACCACTCGCAATGTGAGTGGAGATGATGTAGCAGAAGCAATGGAGTGTGAGTTGCTTCTGATGATTCTCCCTTCTCTCACTCACTCCTCACCAGTACCAATGATGGAGCAAAGAACATGCAAATGGTGATTTTGCCAGGAATCATGGAGACAATTCTCCAAATCAAGAGCCACCTGATCTGTATGAGGCAATGATACTTGAGAGAAGTAAGGTTTGGTTGGCTGAAACCACTGAGATTGCATTCATGGCATTTCCTGTATCTTGCATGACTAAGAATCCACCACATTCATCAGCTGTGTCTTAGAATATAGAACTGAAACAGGGGAATGGGTTAGGGAGAAGGAGGGTTTTATTACAGCAGAGTCTAGGAAAGATACAGGTGGGAAAAACAAGTCTTGAGTAGATCTTTTTCTCCAGGGAAGGTGGATTGAGCTGAAATGAAGGAAGTATCAATTCCAAAATTTTAAATATTAAATATGTTTAGGGACACTGAAGGCAAACACCACACTAAAAACCTTTTCCATAAGATTATTCCTGGCTTTGAGAAATACATATAATCAAATAGATATCCCAAATCAATAAAACCAAAAAGACATTCTCCCCCACAACTACCAAAAATAAAATCCAAACTTTTCCTAGAAGAAAAAAAATCCTAACCCTAAACAAATGTTCATTTTGTTAATTTTTACTAATAACATAACATTTCTTCTTTTCTTTTCTTTTTTTTTTTTGTCAGTGGTGGGGCTTGAACTCTGGGCCTGAGCGCTGTCCCTCAGCTCTATAGCTCAAGGCTAGCGCTCTACCACTTGAGCCATAGCACCACTTCCGGTTTTCTGGTAGTTTATTGGCGGTAAGAGTTTCACGGACTTTCCTGCCCAGGCTGGCTTTGAACCGCGATCCTCAGATCTCAGCCTCCTCAGGATTACAGGCGTGAGCCATCGGCGCCCAGCAAACATCATTACATTTCTTGTCTCTTGTTAACATAATCAGAAAAGATATCTCAGTTCAACAATGCAGCTCTGATTAGTTCTACTTTTTTTTTTTTGCCTACGGTAAAAAAAAAAATGCAAATACAAACAGAATTTGTATATTTCTGATTCTTACATCATCACCATTAAAAGTCCAAACAGGGTTGGGAATGTGGCTCAGTGGTAGAGTGCTTGCCTAGCATGCAGAAAGTCCCAGGTTCGATTTCTCAGTACCACATAAACAGAAAAAAACAGAATTGGCGCTGTGGCTCACGTGGTAGTGTGCTAGTCTTGAGCAAAAAGCAGTGCAGCGTTAGTGTCCAGGCCCTGAGTTCATGACTGGCAGAATACATAAATAACTAAATAAATAACTAAATAAATAAAATTTTAAAAATTAAAAATCCAAACAAATATCTTCCTTTTGAGTCTCACTAATAATATTGTTTGAAGTGCACGGGACAGAGTATTCTGTTGTCCAATTTTCTATTAACATATTAATCTACCTACTGCCACACATTTAAAAAATATTTCTCATAGAAAAAAATTAAACATATACAATTGTAAATTAATTGCTAGGAGCATGGAAGCAGGTATATTTAAAACAAGAGCAATCTGATATTTGCTTAAAGATAATCTGGTAAAATGAAGGGTTTTTTAAACGGGATAGACAAAACAGACCTGACAAGAAATAATTGTTGAAGCTCATGCATTCTTCTCTAGTCTGTGTATGTCTGAAATAGTAAGTGGTAAATGACCATAACTTACAGATACAATACCTTTTAATATTTTCAAAAATTTAGGGACACAGCTGCAGTACTAGGTTCCTTAATCACAGAATTTCTTTGCCTAATGTCAACTATAATAATATTTTGCAAATAACAGGGTTTTATTGTTCACAGCTCTT